TAGACTTCTAATTAATTCTTAGATACCCTTTCTTCCCCATTTAAGCTTGATTCTCTGATCCAGGGTGATGGTTTGAATCAGAATGGTACCTGGAGACTCAGATGTTTGCTTAGTCCCCAGTTGATGAACTGCTTGGAAGGATTAGGAAGTGTGTTCTTGCTAGAGGTGTGCAGCTGGGGGTGGGCTTTGAAATTTCTAAAAGCCCATGCCTGGCCCAAGTTTGCACTCTGTGCATGTTGCCCGTGGATCATGACACAATGCTCTGAGCTCCAGCTCCAGCACCAAGTTTGTTATGATTCTTCTACCTATCATAATAATTGACTAATCCTCTGAAACTGTGAGCAGGCACCCATTTAAGTACTTTCTTTTATAATGATTGCTGCGGTCATGTTGGCTTTAAACAACATATTAAAAAAAAAAAGAAAAACTCCTAAATGTATATCTTCTTTTCAGACTATTTCAAGCCTCAAGACTAACACATCTAACTCAACATTTCACTTCTTGGCTTGATAACCTTCTCCTGCCTCATCCTTCATATGGTTTTATTACTTACAGGCAATATATGAGGGGTAACACATTTTAAAACTTAGTAAAAAGTATCAGATGATTTGGGGGAAATCTTTTTATTAGGGAATATATTCTTATTAGAAGAAATAAGTTCCTTGTAGTCCTAAATTAATAAACTTACAATGATCTCAGTGTTGTAGTTCAACTGACAATAAGCCACTACTATACACTAACAAAGTCTTCTTTATGCTCAGCTCCATTGTCTGATGCCCCTCACTAAGTCTGTTACTTCTCATGTCAATTCTGACATGTTGGAATGGCAATTCTCTTTTTTTGTTATTTGCTTTTGTTTTGAGGTACTAACCAGGCTAGGTTTAAACAAAGTTGGCCTGAAACTCATGATCCTCTTGATTTTGCCTCCTGAGTACTAGGATTACAGTGTGCTACCACATGAGGTTGCAACACCATTCTTAACAGCTGCTCTAAGCCAAGCTCTCAGTTATGCTCTTAACTACTTTCATCAGTGTTATGACAGAAACACATTCAGAATCCAACTACTTACTGCCATGACCTCCACTGCAGATTCAGGTCTGAACAAGTAATAGCTCTCATATTGATTATCTAATGCCTGATTTCCCTAGTCAATCCTTGTCTACTACCTTGAAACTGTTTATATAAAGACAATTATTATCAATTATGCTTGAATTTCCTCTTATCCAGTTATTCTCCTTGTTCTTATTTTTCAATTAAGGCACAGACTAGCCCTTGCTATCTCACATCTGTTGAAGAGTAGTTAATATTAGCTTCAGAATCATTATGGTACTTAATAAAATGTATGAATTCATATAAAATTGTTTCCTACTGAATTATCCGTATGATTTTTTCCCCTTAATAGCTTTTAAGGCTTAGCTAAAATGCTGCCTGATTGTCAGCAAGGCTTTCCTCAAATCAATTTACTTACAAGTCTTTATTCCTACCTTCAATTTTTCAATGACAACTATTGAAATGTAGCAATAGACTTGTTTTTGTTTTTGAATACAAGTTTACTAAACGTGAATACACTATGACCTGGGGTTGAAGATACTGTTAAGGTATTTGTAAGATCCCCAAGCTATAAATAGAAGTTGAAAAAAAAATTCCTGAGAGGGAATTTACAGCTTTCAGAACATTTTCAAAGCAACGATTAGAACAAAACAAAACAAAACAAAAAAAAGTATCAACAGGGCATTTACCTCTGGTCCCTAAAATATATCATAAAAATAACAGACAGTCTACATAGTTGCAGTAGCAATGAAATACTTGAGAAATAAGTAATATAAATTGTTATAATAATAATAATGACTATATACTGAAGTATTTGTAATTATTTATTATATATACTTCCTGGCAGGCTTATACAAAAGTTTTATAGTTGCAGAATTTTCAAAGCATCCATAATCTCACAAAACAAGGTTTTAAAGAGAACAAACTTTACTTCAAAAATAATTATAATTTAATCCACATATTTGAATTTATCTACTCTATTATCATAGCATTGGTATGTATGTTCATAGTATTTAAGATTTCCAAACAAGGTATGGATGTTAACTAGTCAATAATATAGTTTCATTAAACTATGGGAAAGTTTTAATAACAGTATATACTATACTATATATGGTAGATACAATCCTATCTAGTCAAGATATTCCACATATCTTGTAATCATTTTTCTCAGATGGAAGATAATCTCATAGATATCTAGAACAGGAATATTCACACACAGCAGTATTATCTGCTCCACAGCTATAACACAGTGTCAGCTGCAACAGTAATGTCCTCTGCAGTTATTTCTCCCAAGGCAGAGATCTAATCTAAGGAGCAGGCATTATTTAGTCATATTTAGTAATCATGTCTATTTATTTTCAACCTGATAAAGACTGTTTTTATCGACCCTTACATAAAAAAGGCTAGCGGAGTTATAAAATGTCTACTGATTAGATCTGTTGGATGTTTCTTTATCCTTGGTTCATGTTATATAGTTTGAATAGCACTGCCACAGATTATTTAATATTAAATAGGATAATGGCTTGCACTAATACTAGTGATACCAGATTTCACAATCTGGTTAAAGAGGTCCATGTTTTTCCCTTAGAAATTTACTCTTTCTCTCTTTGAAGATACCAAGTAATATGAGGGGAGATAGTTAATATGATTTAATGCTATAATGAGTTTCTCTGTTTTTCCATCACTTCCTCATTTTATTATATTTAACACCATGGACCCATTGATTTATAAACACAAGTTACTATCCATTGATATCAGACTTGCATCGACCCTCAAATTTTTCTTTTCTTTTATCCACCCCCACACCCATTCACCTATTCACCCACCCATTTACCCATCCACCCATCCATCTAGAGACTGGGTCTCAACATAGCTTAGGCTGGTCTCTAACTTAAAATATTCCTATCTCAACTTTCCAAGTTCAAAATCATAGGTGCGTGCCACCATACCCAAAGGAAGCTATTTTTTATACAGACAATGGTGCCCCTGCAAGGTGTCTCCTGTGTCTCTTGATTAATGACATGCTATGACTTTCTGGCACAAGGCAGTCCAACCTATTGCAGTGCTTTCCTGACCTGAGTTATGATTCAATCATTTTTCTAAGAGCACTGGTTCCTGTTACAAAAGACTGGTTTTGATAGACAACTCAGGTACTCAGTGTGGTCTCTGCTACTGGAGCTTCATTGTTTTAGACTGTCTTGGTATAAAAAATAGGACCAAGGCTGTATGTGCTTTTCACATATTACATACACACTGTAAATAAATATACACAAAACATGCAAACTATACACACAAAATAGCATGTATACATATGCACAAATGTGCATATATAAACCAATGTATTCAGAAGCATGAAGTAATATCCTCTAATTTTGCAACACAATATACCTCTCTCTTGTATTTAGTTTCTACCACAATGAAAACATGCTTCCTTCTATATTTACCCATTTGCCCAATCCCAGAGTAGAGTAAGCCACTTTATAACTACCAACTTACCCCAATTAAACATATAAACAGTTCAATACAGAAATTTTTGCAAAACTGATATATAACTTGAGATGTATAAATGTTAAGTATGTAAATTCTTGTTTTGATAATTAGGTATTTGTCTAAAGAATATTCCTCCCAATATAACTAACCAAAATGTTCCTTTATAGCCCTTTCCAGATCAATTTTCTTTGCTCCACTTAAAAAAAACAAAACAAAACAAACAAACAAAAAAAAAAAAAAACAAAAAAAACCCACTTAAAAGCATTTTTTTTTTCTTTTTTGGATTAGAATGAACTAGTCTATAGCTATACATTATTAACAGGCAAAATGCATAGTGCACCATTTGATTCCTTTTTTGATTAGAATTTCTACAAAATTTATTCATATTCTAGGCCATATTAGTTGTCAATTCTGTAATATACTGTATAATACCACAATCTGCTTACCAATTGCTTAGATGATGACATCTGGGTTGTTTCCAGGTTTTGTTTTGGCTATTATGAATAAATTTCCAACGAGCAAGCTCTTTTTCTAGACATATATTTTTATTTCTCTTGGGTAAGTACTGAAAAAGGAAGTGCTGGGTAAAAAAGGTGGGAGTATGTTTAACTTTATAAAACCTGCCAATTCTTTCCACTAAGTAGTTATAACATCTAACATTTTCACCAAGCAAAGTCTGAGAGGTGTAGTTTTTCTTCATTCTAAACATTTCAGGCACTAGTCTTTATTTATTTGGTTAATTTTAGTGATTGTTAAAGCCACTGATTTTGTTTTGTGTTGTATTTTTCTTTCTTTCTTTTTTAACAATATTGAGTAGGTCTTAAAAATCTCTCACTATAATTATAAATTTTTAAAAATTTTGCACTATTTCATATAATGTGAAAATCTTGTTATGGATTAAAGACATTTGTAACTGTGCCATTTTCTTCATGAACTGACTCTTGACTACTAGGAAATGTCTCATGTAATATGAGACAGTAATATGTTCTGGAAGCTTACCTGGCTTTTGGTGACATAGTATCTGACATGTCCTTTTGTACATTTTTACTTTAGAAAAAGCAGCCTGTGTTCATAACTGCTGAGCTGTCTCTCCTGCCCCATTTTCATCCTTTTCAAGTGAATGCTGTATTGACTGAATTCTGATGAACAATTTCTTATTCCTGCTTTTCTTTGATTTCATTCTTTTTTCTTTAAGTACTTGTATTTACAATTACATCACTTTGTTTCTTTTTCTTTTCTTTATAAAATGAGAAATCAAATATCTTCCAAAGCCTTGCTATTCTGTGTGTAAAGTGTTATTTCATTTGACTTTAAAAATGTAGCTAGAAAAAAACAATTACCATTGTCACTTACATCACCCTTCTGACAGACATGCTGGTCTGAATAAATAATGAAGTAGAAAACCAATAAAAAGCAATATTATTCATCTTCAGCTATGAGACAGTTAGGTGCATACTCACTTCATCTGTCAGCTCGCCAAATACTGTTATGACATCTATTAAAAGGCTTGCAGTGTAGAAGGACTTGATCATGTTTCTGGAAGAGAAATGGTATTCTAATTTATATCCAACAAACCAACAAACACTGAAATGTAGTCATGTGACCATAAGAAAAAAAATACATTTTAAAACACTCAAGTAAATACTTGAAATAAACTCTATTCCTACAACAAAAATAGGAGTCCATTGTTAATGTCATCAAAAGAAAGAAACACACTGAACGTAATTGTAACAAAGTTTTATTTTGGAGTTTGATTCAGCTATACCTGAATCTATATAAAACAACAATGTATTTCTATGGTTTTAAATACTATAACAATGACCAATCAATTATCTAAATTGGCTGGTACTCTTTCTTTTTTTGTAGTATCATTTGTTTTTTGAGACATTGTCTTGCAGGTAACCTCTGTTGGCCTTAATTTTTGATGATCCTCTTATCTCAAAATAGCTATGTATCAATCACACCTAGCTAGGCTGGTATGCTTTTAAAATTGACAATGAGGACAAATTTGTTTGGATAAAATCGCTTCACATTTTTATTAATTGTAAAGAGTGGCTAACTGGGATAAATGTACTAAGACATGAGCTAAGACATGAGTTTGATATAAATAGTTCCTAAAGCTGCTCAATTCAAAGAGAAAGGGTCCCACTTGTAACATAAAAATCACTGTGGATTATAATTCCAAAATATAGAAACCACTACTCAGGTGGTCAGAAATTATTCAACCTGAAACTGGTAATTCATGTTAGAAAGTAGCTAAACTCAAACTTATAAAAGAGCTTTTGTGGGTTGGAGAGATGGCTCAGAGATTAAGAGCACTGGTTACACCTCTTCCAGAGTTAATTCCCAGCAACTACATGGTGGCTCACAGCCACCTATAATGAGATCTGGTGCCCTCTTCTGGCATGCAGTACGCCTGTACATAGAACATTGTATACATAATAAATAAATAAATTAAAAAAAAAAAAAAAAAGAGATTCTGCTTTCCTTCTTCACTTACTTGTGAAATCGTCCTGCTCGATCTTCATTGTCTGCATATAAGAACATTTTCAAAGCATAATTTTCCAAATGGGCACAACCAACTATTTCTTGAGTAACAGCTTCATTATCCCCCAACTGTTTCTTAAGCTAAAATGAAATCAGACACATAGCTCATGATTTTGTATTTCCAGAAGGGTCTGCTTAAACACAAGTGATTCTAATAATTTCAATAAAAACTGTAACAGTAAATCTTATAAAACAGCTCTATCAAGAAGAAGAAGAGGAGGAGGAGGAGACACCATTGCCAAGTATCCAGGTGAAGTATCAAATCCAAACCCTGCTAAACAGTACCCAGCCACTAACAACTACTATAAAATGAAACTACAAACTTCTTAAGCACATAATTTAAAATTTAACGTTGCCTTAGTAAGTCATTTCAGTTTGCATCAAATATGAAATAAGATTATACATATCACTGTGTCCTAAAATAGTGTCTCTAGACAGTGTTTAAAGGTATGAAGTGACAAATTCATTACCAGATTATTTTAAACCTAGACACATATAGCCCAAGTCAACACAATTTACAATTATGAAGATTTCAGTTTGCATATCCCTCCATTACACATACAGCAATTTGAAATGTTTCAAAATCAAAGCACATCCTGTTTTGCTTGTATAAGACCATTAAACTGAAATAAAATTGTTTTTCAGAACATCAGATTTAGGCAGCCATATTACTAAATTTGCTTTTATTAGAGGCTGGCTGGAAAGATGGCTCAGAGGTTAGGATCAATTGTTGTTCTTACAGAGAACATGAGTTCAGTACCCAGCACCCACCAGGTGGCTTACTAAATCTGTCACTCAAATACCAGGGGAATTTGATGCCTCTTCTGGCTTCTGCAGGCACTGCATACATGGGGTACACTTACATACATGCACACACAGTCAGTCTTTCTCTCTCTCTCTCTCTCTGGATTGCCTAAAAAGTCAGCCAATGTAAAAACTAACAATTAAAACAATATTTTAATCTCCAGAAGAGAAGTATGTAATGTTGGAATTTAAGGTAATTTTGCCTAACCTTATTCTGAGTAATAGCAGAAACCTACCCAAATTCCCATATAAAACAATTTACTGGGTTTAACCTGCAAAAAAGCAGATTCAGTCCTAAAAAAACTGGTGAAATATGCTATTTCATTTTATAATCAAGAAAAAAATCTGATAAAATCATAACACATTTTAATGTTTTAAAGTGTAATGCAAACAGTATCATACAGATATGCACTCCTGTGAATGAATTTACCTCACTTATCGTGATTATATTCATTGTAAAGAACTGAGTTCCTCTTAGTCTAAAGCTTTTACTATAGCTGTTATTACTAGTGTGAAAGAAACAATCTGTATAAATATCTGTGAAAGGTAGAACTTTGCAAATTAACTGTGATGTGTAAAAGTTACTGTCCATCTTCAATACCACCATCTTATGCAATAGCACTCTAACTCCTCTAACTCACTATATATCCACAGAAGCAACATTAGAAACCAGGGACTTTGGGTCAGTAGACAATAACAGCAAGTCACAGAGGACACTTTATCTACCGTTGCCAATTACAACTAGGCTGTATATTCTATATTGGACTGGCCCTTTGATCTGAACAGTAACTTTGGAATAATAAAGCAAAACAATGAAAACCTTAAAAAGTTCTTGGCTAACATAAGTTGTTTAATTTTAGTATGGATTACTTTTTTTTTTTTCTTATAATGCAGGTGATCCAATTTAAAAAAAAAACAAACTTAGACAGAAAGTAAGAACACAACTGTTCAAGGAACACTTGGAGTAGATGCATGACTGTGTTACTGTCTGCCTTTCTTAGAGATAAACTGGTGGTCTAGTTTGCTATTCTGTTGTGCTAAAAACCAAAAGTAATTTAAGGAAGGAAAGGGCTTATCTGGTTTACACTTCCAGGTCACAACCCATCATTAAGGGAAGCCAGGGCAGGAACCAAGGCAAAAACTTGAAGCAGAAACTATGAAAGAATGTTGCTTACTGGCTTGTTCTCTGGCTCTCTTAGGTAGCTTTCTTAGCAGTTCACACCTACCTGCCTAAGAATATCACCCACAGTGGGCTGAGACCTCCTGAACCAATTATCAATCAAGACCATTTCTCACAGACATAACCACAGGACATTCTGATCAAAGCAATTTTTCAACTGAATTTCTTTCTTTCCTGTGACTCAGATTGCACCACCAAGTGACAACACAAACTAACTATGACACCAGGATAGCATGGCACAGGAGTCACTAAGTGAACCCTGATTGTTAAGACTATTAATAGTTGGCATTATATTCTTGGTTCAATGACATCTAATTCAAACAACTCAACTTTTTTTCAATCTACCTGCACAATAACCCATAACGTTCTTCTAGCGTGAAGAGGGAGATGTTCTCACTCACCTCCATCCAACCAGGAGAGGAGTGTGCCTTGCCATGAAGAGGATATGCATTTAGTAATACCTCCTTCATGATTCCTTTCACTATATAGCTTATTGTATTCTAGCAAGAGTTTTTAAAGACTTCTTCAATCAAAAATCCACATGACTACATAAATGAAGGCAAGAAAGGATGAGCAAAAGCCAGCTACAACAATGCTTATGCAATGATATCTGAGCCTACTTTATACTTGAAACACCCCTGGATAAAATATTAATATTCCTCGTTTTACTTCAGGTACAATGACATTACTGAGTGCTGCTAAGGGAAGAACTGAAATGACAGAAAACATGTGCACAAACACTTAATTAAATACCATATATAAGTCACTTACAGCTTCTAACTGATCCATTAGCTTTGATAAAAATTTACGACACTCAGGAGTTTTACTATCAATCTTCATTCCAGTTTGCATAGCATATAAACGACCTACACAGAAAAGAAAAATATGTTAGATTTAAAATTATATACATTTAAAAATACCCATCGGTTACTTAATTGCATCTATGACTAAGCAATTTACAGCACCCATTCGTGAGGACAAATTCCATTTGTTAGGATAAAAGTGGATGGCATGCATACCTGGGGCGGGGGAACAACTTTGATCTTTGGTAAAATGTCTACAACTTTCTGATGACCCTTAGCTGCTCTATAATCTGGTATTTTCATTTTTTTCATGACATTTACCTCATGGTCCTCGTTTTTGGGATGCTGTTCTTGAGGTAAGCACTGCTGACTGGACACCATGAGTGTGTGCTTATTGCAGGCTTCCTCAACCTCCAGAGGCTCAAGAGATTTTGCCTTGTGTCTTGAGTAGAATAATACCTAGTTACTCTGCCAAACATACAAACTAGGAACCACCAATCTTGTTCCCACCAAGTGGTTTTTGAATGGTCTTATTCTTCACAACCTTGAACTTAACCAGCTGAGCATGTCTTCTACATGCCTTTTCTAGAACACCCAGAAAGTTAAGGAATATTTGTTAATTGTCAAAAGAAGGTTTCACATTCCTGAGTGTTCCTGTCTCATGCTTAAACTGTTGAAACACACCGACACTGCTTTTTCGGCTCTAGGCTTCACCTTTGGTCTATCTTTCTTGCTTTTAAGTGGTATTTTATGAGACAGGAAGCAGCTGAACTTTTATACTTAAAACTTTTTTAATTGAATGAATATTTAAAATAATTTTTATTTAGTAAGACATTCAGAATTTATATATATTTAAAATAAAGTTAGATTTATTGAGGATTCTACCACAAAAATCTCACCTACACAATGCAAGAGAGCCACCATAGTAACATATTGTTTACAAGTATGGCCTTCTTTTGCTGTCATGTTAAAAACAAATAAAAAACTGGATAGGTCCTTTGTTGTTAAAAGGATGTACTGGTGAGTAAAAGCATTAAAAGACAAGACAAGACAAAATACATTCCATGCAAAGAGTGTCCGCCAAGTGCCAGATGAGAGGTGCTGATACACAACTTGGGCTAGAATGGTGCCAACAGAGCCTTGAGTTGAAGTTTATGGGGAGAACTGCTCCAGTAATTTCAATGTATGTTCATTCTCTAAATAAAAACACTTCTTAAAAAACAAAAACAAAAAACCCTAAAAACAGGATTTGAGATAAGGATAATGCTGAAGAAATCTTTAACAAACAGCCCTGCTTCAACAGTTTTCCATTGCTGAGAACTAGAAATGTTTATGATGGTGACTTTACAGGATGAACATACACACAATGTCTATATTTCCCCCTTCTGCAAACACGGGACGTCTTGGAGATGGCAGCACTAGTGTTTCATAGTACACACGGGTTCTTCTAGCAAATGCACACTGGGACAACTCTCAAATTTCATGGTTGTAATTGGTCTTGTGTTATGGCACCTCCTAGTGGACATATGTACAAGTTGGGTTGGGGGAACCAAGAGGTATCATCCCTAGTACCATTTTTGAGAGCTACTTTAAGGTGTGCTTAAAAGAGTACCACTATATAGTTACTTATATAATTATAATCTATGCAATATCTTCTTTCTGTTAATTGGATATTAAACATAAACTGTGTCAATCTGAGGACTGAAAGTAGCATCTCACTGCTTTTCCTAATGACATTATATATTTCTTGGTACTCTATGAATTAGGACTGCTATCAAAATTAAAATCTTCTACAAAACTGGTTTTTTTTTTTTTTTTTTTTTTTTTTTTTTGGTTTGAAGAACTATTGCTTTTTGTTTTCTTGAGGGTGGGGGAGGAAGGGGCAGGGATTAAAACTGGGATATCATGTTAGATGAACACAATTTCAATGAACTATACTTGAGGTCAGCGTTTTTTTTTTTTCACCCAAAGACCCAGTAGACTCCTACTCCGTCAGCCACATTCCTTAGTAACTTGTCTGGGACTTTATCTAGGAAGACTGCACTGGTTATTATCACCCACTCCAACCCTACTAAAGTATGGTTGAACACCCACCCTCTCCTTCTCTAACAATTCTACTTCTTTTCAGCCCAAGCTTGAGTATATTTTAGTTAGCTCTTTTGCACCTGAACCTGAAAGGATTATGACCACTTCTTTGATGAGCTGTCTACATCTTCTTCCAGTTTTTGGTTACATTTCAGTCCATGACAAGAGATCATCAGATAGAAATATGTTAGCTACAAACACTATGGGTACTTTTTAAATTTTGGATAAGACACTTACATTTGTGACATTTTTTCACCAAATGGGCCTAAGCTTGAGAACTTCCTTTTATCTGCTGATATTTAAATTCTAGATGGCTTTTCTTATGGCTCAATTTTCCAAATTTAACTCTGTGTTGTAGCTTATCTCCAAGTAACATAATTAAAACTCAATTAACACATCATCTTTTCTTTTTTCTAGTAATCTGTGATTCTTTAATATATTTACTTTGCATGTTTTTTATCTGTGATTTTGTTTAAATCTTAGATGAAATGAATGATACATATTACATGATAATATCTTCAAATGACATTATGCTTTTTTGTCTCCTAAACTTAATCCATGTTTTAGTGTATTTCCAAAATTTCCTGAAGGACATTAAGTCCTTATTTTTAAGAGCAAGGCTTCCAAGAGGGAAGAAATCAGTTCCATTTCAGGGTCCATTCTGGACTGCTCACACTTCTCCCAACAGTCACAACCCTCAGCTATACTAAAGTGGAAGCCTTTAATGCACATGAACCTGGGTCAGCAAAACAGCTGAAAAGACCCCGGAAAGATAATATAAGCATATCTAATGATATTTTAATCTCAATCTTCTAAAATATCTACTTTTATATATCTTATATAAAATCAGTACAATATGTAGTTAATAAATTATAGACTTAATATACTGGAAATTGGTGCTCAATACATATTTTAGTTCTTAAGGATAGAGGAACTAAGTGTCAAACTATACCTCAATTCTCGTAGCTACCAAATATATCCTGGCACCCATCTATCCCAAGCCTCTTCTCCCTATACTGCTTCCTATTTGGCACCTTTCCAGTGTTTCCTTGGTTCCCCTGCTTTGCCTAACTGAAGTCTAATATCACTTCAGGGTATCAGAATTGGAGTCCTCAGGTACTAAGTATTTTTTTTTTCTCTCACAGTCCACCTATCTTGGGATTTACAAGATACCTTTATGAGTTCTGCTGTTGCTGACTGTAATGCTTCTTAAGTATCTACTCAACTCTCTCAGGCCATTTGTGTCCTCTGCCACCAATGTTGTATCTGTGATGGCCTGTGGATCTTAGGGTCTTTGTTTGTCCATCCCACACACTTGTAAAACTTTCTTGGTTACATGGATATTACTGTAGCAGAGGCTGCAAGGTGCCTTTTCATATGCATGTTTCTCATCTTTTTGCTATGCAGATGTGTATAAAGATTACATTTTGCAACATTCCAAACAAAAGTATGGTCTTGCATAATTAAGACTAACTTTGCAAATCAGAAACTATGGGGAGAGACTTTAGTAATAAAGTCTCCCTACAACCATCTCTTCCTACTACAGCTCTAGGATTCACCTTGAACTATATGCAACCCTCATGATGCACTTTGCTATTTCTGAAACTTCATGAGCTTGAGTTCCTGTAATTTCATAGAGATCTACACTGACACATGTACTGTTAAAAAGTCTTTCTTTTAACCAAGGAGCAAATCCTTATTTTACTTGGGTTATTAGTTCAGATTTTCTGAAATAAGCAAGCAAATCTAAATCCAATGCAAATACAATGACAAGCTTACTGACCTCTAAAATGTTATATATTCTGTCCACATACTGCCATTCCACAAATGAATTACCACCACAAACTAATGTACAGCTGAAGTCAGTCTATCAAGCACAACTTTGTGAATGCAATACTCTGTTCTTTTAACATTAACTATATGTAAAATTCCAGGCTTCCAGTTCTTGGGCACCTTTCCATTTTAAAATAAATCTCCTTTCAGCTATGTTTGTAACCAGATTTAATTTTACCATGTATTTTCCTTAAAACTTTTTTGAGGTAAGTGTATTGCTATAAATTTTGGGCTTGATTGATGAATCAACAAGGCAGATTGTACATTTCTCAATCATTAATTGATAGAAGCCATAGGATCTTGTTCTGCTTCACTCATGTGGAATAAGCCTACCAAAAATCCACTTCCCAGCACTTTGTAAACACTTCATGCTGGGACCCTACCCACCTGGCCCACCCTCAATAGATTTGCTCTCTTCCACCTGCAACAAATTTGCTTTCTCATTCTCTGACTGGCTTAGCCTTTCATTCCATACCAACAACTGGGTCCCTGGTGCTGTTATCCACTTCTGACCATTCTCCTGGAAGTGAGGCTTCCTTTCTCAATCACAGTCCTTTTCTCACCTTCTGGCTTTTCTCAAAGTCCTGCTATTATGTGATTGCATCTCTCTTGGGCCCAGAGTCCTTTTAAAAAGAGACCTGCCCACTTCCCATCTTTCTTTCCTGCTGCTTCTGTCTCCAGAAGCTGGGTCTCACCTCTCCTTTCTCCTTTTTATAATCCCTTTCTGGAATTAAAATACCCCTCTGCTTGAACCCTGGCACATGGTTTCTTTCTCTCTAGTGCACTGTTTTTGTTAAATTAGAACTACTTTAAGAAAAAGTTACTCTTAATTCCTACTAAAAGATGAAATGAAAATTGACTTATGAATTAATATATCTAGGTTTTAATATCCACAAATATGTACATTCTCCAAGGGCTGTTTTATCCACGGTCCCCAGAGAACTAGAAACAAAAATTGTGAGAAACAATGCTGAAAAACAAACAAAAGAACAAAGCACAAAGGGATCAAATGAATCATATCACTAATACCTCGAATTTTGGCCAGATATTTCCAAAGTGTTCTATGTTCAAGCAAAAATTACTAACCACATTGGTGTGAAAATGTGATGCAAAAAAGTAATAAGCCAACACTTAACACAGATCAA